CACACACACAGAGGACACACACACTCTCTCTCTCTCTCTCTCTCTCACACACACACACACACACACACACACACACACACAATTAAGCTAATTATGAGACCCCCTTTGGCTAGATGTTGTGTCTCTCAGTGCAACTCACATCTCTGAATCTGTTCCAGGATCTGTCCTTGTTGTACTGAGCCACGGTGCTCAGCCATTTGTCGTTACTGTTACCGGAGACCGCCGTTTCTCTGCTCAGCAAGAGAGCCACGACAGGTAGCAGAAAGAAGAACATCTTCTGAAAGCAAAAGACAGTGGGGAAAAAATATGAGACATAAGACGGGGGGTGAGAAAAACTGAGAGCCCAGAGGAGAGGAGGATGCAGCAAAGTGTGACAGGGACAGAGTGAAGTGAGATTGTACACTTTACAGAACACACAACTCTCCCATTGTGACGCACGGTGAGTCCGAGTGTCACAACGGAGCAGAAAGAAGCAGATAAACCAATTTTTTATTTCATTCTTTTCTATCAAATTGCTGATCCTTCATCTAATCGGATTATAAACATTGGAGAGTTGTCACCGCGGCAGATGGGGCACCGCGTAACGATTAGCTCGCGAGCCCCCCCTCACTCCGTCAATTTAAAAAGCAATTAGCGGCGTCAACACAATTGCCGCCCCCACGGAGCTTTGTCTTGGCTTTCATCCGCTTTCTCCATCCGTCCTTCCTCAGCGCCGCGAAAGTGCAGACAAACGGGCAACTACTGACTTTTTCGTTTCACCAGTTTCTACTTGTTTGATATGAGCTGACACCGAGGCAGCGCCGCTTCACCTACCTGGGATAGTTTTGTTTGCGTCCACTTCCGATTCCCGGGGGAAAAAATAAGTCCACAGCCCCGGGCACTCCGGTGGTACCCGACTGCTTGTAGGATTGACGGCAAAAAAAAGGGAGCTGAGAGACGCGCGGACCGGGAGCTTTCTCCTCCTCCTCCTCAGTCACCAGACACCGCCTCCTCTCTCTCTCTCTCTCCCCCTCTCCTTCCAGTACGCACTAACCGTGTCATTGATTTTCAGCGGGGGGATTTTTTTCATGTTCACGCCAGCAGAGAGCGAGCAGGATTTTCGGGTTCTGGGTGTACAAACACAAATTTCATTTTAGTCACGCGTCTCTGTTGTGGTTATTCAAGCTCGTGTCCACCGCGACAAACACAATTAAGACACGCACAATCGGCGCTGTGTGTGCGCCTCAAAAGACCCGCTGAGGGTGTAAGTGTGCGTTTTTTTCTTAAGCACCATGGACAGAGGCAGACCGCATGAAACGCTGTTTTTAGTCATAACACAATTCATAAATGGGCCACATAACTAGGGCGTTCTTTTTTTTGGAGGGGGGGTATAAAGATATGTGTTTAAATATTTAATCTGCGAATCTGCTTTGGCTTTCTCTGGGCTTTGTTCGCTTTGGTAACACTCTTGTTTCCCCCCCTCTCTTTGCATAATGTGTGTCTGGATGTGTGGAGTTCTGTGAGGGGGAGTGTGTCTGCTGTTTCACTAAAGCTTTGGTGCCCGTTTCAGTGTCTGTGGTGAGTAGGACAACACATATTCTTTCTATAATGTGGTTCAGCTCAGTAGTTCATATTCGAACTATTCTGGCTGACATCACAATTCTCTTTTGTATTGCTTGCACTTTTGGAAAGTAATATCAGGTTTAATTCCGTCAGGAACAGGATTCAAAAGAAAAGGCTTGTTTCCTTTCTCAATTCTATATTCGTTTTGACCTGCCACGCTGCAAAAACCCACTGCCCCTGCAAGGAAGGTTTATACTTATATATATTTTGCTGTGCTATTTAATGACTCTGGATTGCTTTGTTACCCATTTTCCTCCAGGAAAGCTAAACCTTATGGGTTATGAGCCTACTGCAGTCTTTCTTTTTATTTCCTGTTTGTGGTCCAGAGTCAGAGCTCATTAAAAATAAAACAGGTTAAACACAAAGAAGTAATAAACATTACTTTGCATGTTGTGTTTGCTGCAGTGTGGACTAAAGAGACATCTAAAAGCTTTATTTATGAAATACTGTTAATGTTTTTACCACAATGTGTGGGGCAAAAAGTTTGAAACATTGATTGGATGGAGCTTGTTCTTCATGAACATGCCTCAGTGTTTTGGTGTCTGGTGGTGTTTTCAAAATACACAAATCAGGATTGTTCCAGCAGGCCTGTGAGGTTTAATTAATGAAGCAGGTAAACACTGCGGACAGAGGAGCTGTTCAAGGTGCTGAAATTTTAGTTTAACTTAAAAAAAACATCTACTACATGAGAGGCTAATATTTTTTTCACTTGATTCCACTGGGACTGTAAAAATACAACTTGGTTGTTGTTGTAGTGCTTGAATCCATCTTGGATCACTTTATCTGTGCATGTCATGTCATATACAATATACTGTATGAATGAATGACTCTGAGGCAGTAATGGTAAATTTGTCTTTTGGGTAGTATTACACTCTACCTTTCTTGAGGGGACACAAACATGGCAATTACTGGTAAGTTTATCGTGATGTAATGGTGCACTCCCAGTGGCAGTAGATGCTTTGCTTACAAAGACAGTAACCAATATGCACAGTATATAAAAGCAGTTATTAGTTATTGGTTTGTCATTCACAGTAGCAGCCGATTAGAGTCATGATGTGGCTGGAGCTGTTAGGAACCCCGGGGTCAAGACTTAGGGTGTGAAGAACAATTACTTAGATGGAAGTATTAACCCTAACACACTTGTTTTTGATGGTGGGAGGAACTGGAGCACCCAGCAGAGACCAATGCAAACAGAGAAGACATGCGAACTCCACATGGGAGGGACCTGGGATAGCAGAGTGTTCAAACCCGGGACCTTCTTGCTGTGAGGCCACAGTGCTTACTGCTGAGCCACTATGCTGCCCACTGAGAGGGAAGAGAGAAGAACTGGGTTTGTGGAGGAGGCTTGTAAGAACTGAGTCAAACAGGTGAGAGGGGTTAGAAACACTTATATACACACCTCCTCATTGGGCTCATCTCTGGTGGAGTCCGCCTACAGGTGGGAGATTGACCATCTGGTGACCTGGTGCAGCCAGAACAACCTGGAGCTCAACCCTCTAAAGGCAGTGAAGATGGTTCTGGACTCCAGAAAGTCCCACCCACACCCATCACCCGGTGTATGACAATGTCCTTCCGCTTCCTGGGCACCATCATAACCCAAGATCTACTTCCTGTGGCAGCTAAAGAAGTTCAACCTGCCCAAGACCATGATGGTGCACTTCTACACCGCCATCACTGAGTCAATCCTCACCTCCTCTATCCTATCTGGTACGGTGCTGCCACTGCCAAGGACAAGGACTGACTGCAGCGTATCACTTGCTCCTCTGAGAAGGTGATCGGCTGCAATCTGCCATCCCTCCAGGACCTGTACGCCTCCAGGACCCCGATGCCTTTTCCAATCTGCAGCTGGCCTCATCAACAAGGCCCGGGACCTCCACTGACTCCGACTCCTATACCGACCAATCACTTATCGAATCTATGTGTTACATCAATGCACGTCTCTTGGATTATATCTTGCACCCTTTATGCTTCATACTGCAAACTTGCACAACTGTACAGCTCTTCATTAATTGATTTAAATAGTCAAATTGTACATGTTGTCTTTTTGTATTTGTATATATTGTCTCTTTTTATTGTCTCTACTGCATCTTTATATTTTTCTTATATTGTTATGCACCGATATACCAAGGCAACTTCCTTGTATGTGAAAACCTACTTGGCAATAAAACCGATTGTGGTTCTGATTCTGATATGCCCAGGTGGTTGAATTAGAGAAGCACAGGTGGTTTAATTAGCGAGGCACATGTGATAGGATTAATGAGTTAGGCGTGGCCTTTTTTCTGAACCGTAGTTATCTATTGAATGAAACACTAAATTATTGTATCATCATCAACATCTATTTTTTCAGTAAGAGATCATTAACAGCACAAAACTAAAATAAAATGCAGTGATTTTCAGGTCCAAAACTTCCAGCCTTTTTTCTTTTGGTCGTTGCAAGACAAATGCCTGATAAATAAATACACAAAGAGATAGTTATGAAGAGGAAACAACTAAAGCAAAGACAACCTGCAAAACATTATATTAAAATCGTCTTTTAACTCACAATTGGAATCCAAGCAATGTCACCCCCTTTTTATGAGGAAATGTGCTTACATTAAAATTTTATTTTGAGTTTTGCTTTTCATTTATATCTACAATTGCACTGTACCTCATGCTTTAATATTAGGGATACAATATGTTTTTCTTAGAATTATCTGGACTTTGGTTGGTTATGGAGTGTTTTAGTTATTACTGTATATCCATAATGTAGGTCTGTCATGACATGTGAATGAAAGTCTAGGAGCCCATAGTCCCCTATGGAGATTTAAGGGTCAGCAATGATTACATTTAACAGCTTGTTGTTATTGCCATTCTTAAAACAACACACTCTTAATGTACATACAGCTGCCAAATCAACATCATAAAGTGAAAGGATGGAAGTGAAGGTCTGCATGATTCAGGCAAATAAGACTTTTCTCTTTAAAAACACTGCAGTTTCTCACTCACTGCCATCTTGTACTGTGAAGTACTCTGTGAGTGGTGGAATTGG